AAGTCAAGCCAACCAGGCGCGCGAAAGGCGCGCTGGCGGAAGGCGTCGGCGCAGTGGGCGCGCTGCGCGGGCGCGCAGAAGCGTGAGAACGCGCTCGCGCGTGCGCCGATGGGCGATGCGAGAATGGCGCATGCGCGCGCGTGCGCGCGTGCGTGGTGGCGGTGGTGGCGGCGCGGGGGGGGGAGGGGGGGGGGGCGGTGCGAGGCAGACATGCGCGGGCGCGGCTGCGACGGCGACGCGGGCGCGTCCGCGCGAGGTGGGAGGGCGCGGCGCGGGGCAAGCTGCGGCCTCGCAAAGTTGCGCGCGCGCCACGCGCGCGCGGCGCGGATGGGCGAGGATGGGAGCGGACGCGCGTCGGATCGGCGGGCGCGCAGGGGGGTGCGAGCGGGCGGGCTGCGCGCAAACGGCGCGGCGTCGTGGCGCGCGATATCGCTGCAATTGCAGCGGCGGCGGCGGGGCGCGCGCGCGTTGGCCGCCAAGCGGGCTGAGCAACCAACGCTGGCAACGCGCGAACGAAACGCGCGCGCGCGACGTGGGCGCACGCGCTAGGCGGGCGGCAGCGGGCGAGTGGCGCGCGGATGGGCGTCTCCGCGCCAATTCGCTGGATAATTGCTGGGCCCAGAACGCGCACGTCCACGCGCGCGTCGCTTCATGTGCTGGCAGGCGTGGCGGACGCACCGCGATGGGGCGCGGCGGCGCTGCGCGCCGCGATGGTTTGCTTGCAGTTGCGTCCATGGGGTTTCTGCTGCAGGCGAAGACCTGGGGCACTTGGTCAAAAGGCCGCTGGCGCGGGCGCACAGGAGTGCATCGGGCGCTGGTGGGCCCGATGCAGAACTAAGCAATCGAAGCTGGAGCTGGCACGCGGCGTAAGCGAACGCGCGGTGGCGGTGGCGACGGTGGCGCGCGTAGTTGGCGGCGGCGGCGGCTGCGCGTGCGCGCGTGCGCGCGTGTGCGCGTGGGTGGGGGTGGGTGTCAAGCGTCAGCCCCGCCAGCGTTGCGCTAGCATTGCCAGCGCGCGATCGCGCAATGGGCGATGGGCCCGCGCCATGGCGCATCGATGCGCCCGCTACAAACCCCACCGAGCCAACCGATGTTGGCAATGCCAACGAGCCTCGCTATCTCTGCCCCTGGCTCTCATAATTGCGCGCGGCACTGACAGGGGGTTGGCGGCAAGTGCGTCCGCCGACGGCGCCCGCGGCGGCTGGTTCGAGCTGCGGTGGACACACAGATTATGGCGGAGCTCCTTGCTGGGTTGGGTGCGGCGCGCGGCGCGTCCCGCAATGGGCAACCGACGACCAGCCCCGCACTGGCACTTCCTGCTTGAGGCGTGCAGCTACCCGTGGCCACCACACGCCCGCTAACGTGCGATGCCGCACCGCGTGGTTTCGCTTTGACCTGTGATGTCGCTCGCGTGCGCAGCGCGGGGGGGGGGCATGCGCGGCGCGTACTGTTGACCTCCAAATTGCAGCGTGTCAGGAGTTCTGCAGCGGCAGAAAGCGAATTGCCTGCGCCAGAGAAGAGCGCCATAGCGCGCCAGCCATTCCCGACGCCGCTCAATATGCGACGCCTGGCGCGGCGACGTTTGCTGCGAGGTAGAACGTGCCCCCCCCTCCGCGCGCGACAGAGCCCGCTACGCCAACGCAGGGGTGCCATGTACAATGCGACATAATTCCGACCGCCAAGACGCAGCGCGCCAACTGCGCCCCATGAGCCTTGCCCGCGGCGGCCCGCCCGCGCGATGACTCGCCTCGCGGTGCTCGACCGCGACGCTTCGCCCTGCAAAGCCTGCCCGCGCCGTCCATTGCGCAGCGCCCAAACCGCTGCGCCATTCAAGAACGAGCGCGCTTCTTCTGCGTCGCGCAACGCACAAGACACGCTTGATCCTGGCTACGACGCCCCGCACTTGGAGAGCTCGCCGCAGCGGCTGATCACTGGGCCGCGCCCACGTTTCCGCGCCCGCGCGGCCGAGCCCGCGAACGCCTTCCCGTGCACACATAGCGCAGAAAACATCGCCAGTGAGGCCCCGCACTTGCGCAGCCCCCACAGCCTACGCACCCTGACCCTGACCAGCCACGCGCCCCCTGCGCCGCCATCTCACACATCAGCACACGCAAGGCCGCCCGCGCGAACCGTCGGGCCACGCGCGCGGCGTCGCCAACCTGCTGCCAGGCAGGGTGGAGACGACGATCACGACAACGACGACGTAATCGCACGCCTCTGCCCCTGCACATGCAGCCGTATCCTCATTGCCCCGCCGCACCCGTCGACCACCGCAACCGCGGATGTGCGCGCAGGAAGGCTCGAAAGCGCGGTGCAGAACGCGACCGCCGCTGCGGCGCAGAAAGTTGCGATCAGGCAGGCGGGCCCGCGTCCCCGACAAAACCGTCGATTGGGGGCGGTGCGTTATGCGCAGCGCACGAGAGCGCGCAGCGCGGTGCATCGGGGGCCCCGCGCCGCGAGCTTCTCGCTGCACTTTCGCGACCCACAGTGGGTGATCAGCAAAGCCGCGCGCCGAACTGAGCGCGACCACCTCGCGCGCCGAAGCATCGCCAGACGAACTGGCCCCGCGAGCCCTGAAGGCGAACGCCACGCGTGCAGCCACGCGCGCAGCATAGCACGTGAACTGCGCAAGCTTGGGCGACCGCGCGCGCATACCCCGCAAACCCAGGGCGCGCCGAGCCGCGACGACGCCCACGATCGGCTCCACGCGCGGCGCGAGAGAATCTCTATTCCACATGCCCGCGTGGAGCGCGCGCCCCAGGACGCGGCGGGAAGACCTGCACGCGCCATTGTTGGCGACTGCGCCCAGCGCCCGCCCTGCCCACCGCGCAACATTTTAAGCTTAAAACCCCGCCGCGCTGAAACGCGCCACGTTTTACCAACGTGTACGCTTTCAATTTTCATGTTGTGTATACGTGCTCATTACTGCGGCGTGCTTAACGCCCGCCGACATGGGGGCGCAGGGCGGCGGGATCGACGACGACGAGTGAGTTTACGACGGCGACGGCGCCAGCCGCGATGATGTCATAAGGATGGCAAGGGGTGGCCGTGACGCTGCTACTTTTCACCCAAGTTAGCGCCCGTGACATCCTCACAAAGCTTGTTTGGCACATGAGGGCATGGGGGAGGGAGGGTGGCTGAACTTTGATTGGCGCAAGTCTCATGACCCCCCCTCCCCGCTGTCAAGGAGGCCGCGGCAAATCCCAAGGGGTAAGACGAACGCCTTAGCGACGTGCCCTAGAGCCCAAGCGTGCACGAGGTGGCCCCGAGACGACCCCCAAGACCCCCAAGAAGCACCACCCCAAGAATTAGCCCACTCTAGCACGCACACCCAAACAGCCTACAACGTGGTTCGGATACCATCGACAGCAAGACCATAAATCGCAATGCACCTTCTGTGACGTGTGGTGGTGCCTTCAAATAGCGCAGCCGACATGAGACGTGCCTCACTGAGTACTGTGGCGACGGTCTGACAGGGCGTCTCGCAGCATCTGTCGCATGCGCTCGGCCTCATCATCCTCCCCATCATCCTCCTCGTCCCTCCTCCTCGTCCTCCTCCTCGTCCCTCGCCTCCTTCTCCGACTCCTCCTCCCCCTCGCCCCACCCCCTTCTCCAACGGGTGGCTGTTTATGTTCGGGCCCGTGGCGTTGAGGAGAGTGCTCGCAACAGAAATAGGCGACGCACGGCACACCACCACGCACGTTTCCAACCGATGGCGACCGAATCCCTACGAGGCAAACGTCCCCAGGTGCACTGCGCAGGGCCCCGCGCCGGGCCGAGATGCCTCCAGCGGGCTCCCAAGCAAACAGTGAAAGCCTAAACTCGCATCGGATCGGGTCGAAGAAGTGCACCCCCCCCCCAACGCCCATGCTAGCAGATCTCTGTCCAATCCCCTCGCAAGACTGGACCGGTTACCACGCATATCTAGACCGTTATCCGTTGCATCGTTCCTGGATGTGCTGGCATTGTTACGCGAGACCCCTAGAGGCTGTTCTGTCATACAGTATGCTGCAATTCATTTCGACTGTTCAAGGCAGACCACAGCTGGCAACAGTGCGCAGTGCCCCGCCCAGACGGCGAGGGCAACCAGGCGGCGCAATGGCCGCCACAAAACCATTGTTCAAGGGCAGACGTCAGGCTCGCTGTCCTCGCCAGGGCGGCGCGGCCTCTCGCGGAGCAGCAGGTCCGCGGCGCGGGGGCCCATGCCCTGAAACGCTGCCCGAGCAGCCGACCGCACCTCCTTGGAAACCCAGTTGCACGTCACGTGCGTCTGCTGGCTCCCGAAGTCGGCGTGCCTCTGCAGCCAGGCGACCAAGAAGCCGATGGGCCGCCCCTGCTGCGGCCTGGCTCCTGCATTGCATGTCCTGTGTTTTCTGCACTTCGCATGTCCTGGGCTCCTGCACTCTGCAATGATGTCATTCTTCTTTGCATTGTAGACGATCCTGCCGCCCGCCACCTCGATGAAGTACATCGCTGGCTCCACTGGCGCGCCGCCAGCAGGCGGCGGCGCTGGCGGAGGCGGCGGCGGCGCGGCCTCGCTAGAAGATGCAGAGTGCTCGCCGCCGCCAGGAAGGTCGCCATCAGAATCGCTCGACCTCCCAGGGTCGATGATGCCATGGAGGCGCGGAGTCACTAGAAACCATCCGAAGACGGGATGAGGGGATGAAGGCCTTCGCCAGCTGGTTCAACGCCAACTGCATCGCGAACTTCGCGACAATGGCTCACCGGAACGTCGACCACACACCTGGGCAAGCCACGGGTCGCCGACCAGCTGGCAGAAGGTGGCGCCACCCCGCAAGCGCACCCTGCACCTAAACAGGTCCGAAGGTGCCAATCGCAGGCACCAGGGAGAGCCTAACACCGATGCCCCAGAGGATTTGGCATGTCCAGCGGCCCTGCATGGGGGCCCATACAGGACACTAAAACATGAAAGCTGTTTGTGGGGGGTACGCTTGCGAAGCAACGCCACTCTGCTGGGCCCAACGGCGGCCCTGGCTCACCGTCCTCGGCGTCCATGCCGCTTGCGCTGCCGCCACCTGCATCACCAACGCTACCAGCAACGGCGTCGCCTCCAGGGAGTTCGCGTCCATGGTCAGGCTGTTCGTCGCCATCGTCCTCGTCTGACTTGTGGTCCTCGTCGCAGTCCTGCTTGACGTTCTCGATCGGCTCGATGGAGTGCCACCCAGACTTCACGTCTGCGTCCTTCTTAGGGTGCTTGATCTGCTTTTTCCTCCACTTCGCCCACGGCGGCTTCCAGATGACCCTGCACGTCGGGGCGCCTGGCTGTTCGTCATCTTCCAGCAAGTGCACGTCGACGCAGTTCGGCACGAACGTGCCGATCGGGCTGACCCTCACGTCCATGTGGTACACGCACACAGACCACCGAAGATCCCTGTCGAAGTCTTTGAACGCCTGCCACGGCGTCGCGAACTGTACAGTGGCCTCTAATCGATGGATGCTCACCCCGATGCTCGGATGCGTCGGACCCGTCGGGCCGCGCAAGGTCTGAAAGCACGACCGCCATGGCGATAAGCTGTGGCTGCCGATGTGCAGCCACATGTCGTCGACGATTGGCAGCCGCTCGACAAGGCCGTTCGTGGCGACATCGATGTCCTCATCGTCGTCAGTAGGCTGGCGCTGCGCGAAGACGTACACACAGATGTAGCCGTGGGCCAAGCTCTCTGTTCTGATGCGCCCGACTGGGCACGCCAGCTTCACAGCAGCATCGAAGTGATCCACGAACTTCTGGACCTCTAGCCCAGCGCCCTTGCACACGCACATGCTTGCAAACGTACAAGCTGAGATGCCACTGCCACTGCAATCGTTCTCGTCCCACTCAGGGCGCGGCTGGTGGTCGATCGTGTCGTGAATGTCGTCCCAGTACTTTGCCAGGGCGGCGAAGATGTCGGGGATGATGGATCGATGCACCGAAAGCCCTCTGGCAACCCGCTCTAAGACGCCCACAGGCTCCCATTCGAAGAGCTGGAAACCCTGGCGCGGAGGAACAACGGGGAGGAACTCGTTGAGTCTCGCCTTGATCTCCGACTCGTGGGACAAGCACTTCTCCCTCGCCGCCGCGCCATCCTCCGAACACCACTTCGACACGACGTCGTTGATCAAGGCCTTGTCGGAGGCGCGCCAAGCCCGCTCAGCGCGCTCAAGCTGCCGACAGTCTGCCATCTCCGTGAGGTGCTTGGGGTTCGACGAGGCGATGCCGATGATGCCGTCGTAGGTGGCCACTGCGACGTCGCCCTGAATCCCGCCAGCCGAGTTCAGCAACGCAGCGCGCTTGCTCTCTGACAGGTCCTGAACTCGACGCGCAAGGTCAGCCTTCCTAGCCCGCGCCTCGAGTAAGCGCGAGCTCCCTCCGAACGGATTCTTATTGCCAGCACGTGCTGCTCTGGTGGCGGCCTGTCCCACTTCCATGAGCACGGCCTTCTCCTGGGCGGACAACGCCGCGTGCGCCCGCCCGAGCCCCGCGAAGTCGGGAGAGCCCGTCCTGCCCAGCGTCTGTTGTCAAACGAAGGCCCGTCAAGCGCCTCCGAAGCCGCGGTGGCGCCTCCTGGCTGCAGCCTTCTTGCTGGCCGCCTGCTTCACCGTGGTCTTGATCACGTGACGCCCAGGCCCGCTGCGCAGCCGCTGCCGCCGCGTGCGGAACCGCTGGCATGTCCTCAGTGCTGACAGGCGCCTGATGTGAATCGGGTGGGTCTGCAAGCTCAGCGCGGCGAGGCTCCTTCGGATGGCCGCGTGGCTGGACTCGATGCTGCAAGTCTCACGCCTGATGCTGAGGGCTGTGTGCATCAGCTCAGCGTTGAGGTCTGGGTTGAGCAAGCCTTGATCGGTCTTTGCGTACTTTTCGACCAACGCCTTGCTCCACTCGTCCTTCATGTTGTCGCAGTCGTTCTCGATGTCGGCCGCGCTCCCCCCCCGTCCAGCAGCGTGAACATCTTGAAGGGGTGCATGGAGTGAACGACGGTGAGCTCGCGGCATAGGCAGCCGATCTCGCTTAGCATCATGAGCGCCAGCGTGCGAAGGTCACGCGTCCTGAGCCCAGGCGTGATGATGTCCCACGGCCCCTCGGTCAGGTTGAGGGCCCTCAGGTCCCGGAGGAACTCGCCTTCGAACACCTGCTTGCACGCAGCGACCACTGGAAGCAGCTTGTCGGTGCAGTCACCGCACCTTCCCGCCGCAGCCTGGACCTTGAGGTACTCCATCAGGTCGTCGTGCTTGACGCCGGCGTGGTCCAAGTACTTGGACATGATCTTCCTGAGCGGCTCCAGGGCCCTCCTGATCACCGTGAGCCTCCCACCGTCCGTGAACTGGTAGGTCTTCGAAGGCCGAGGGGGGTGCAAGTAGAAACGTGCCAGCGGCCACCCCTTCGCATGAGCCCCACAAGGGCTCTCTCTAGCCCTGGACTCGGAGGGAACGGATGGGGTTTGCGTTCGACTGGGGAGGGCGGCCAGCCCGAACACCTACTGTGACTTCTAGTTTCGGATGCAGCCGCCACCATCATACCATCATCATGTTCGTCATCATGTCCGTCGTCGCCGTCGCTCCTCACGCCATCCTTACTACCCCCCCCATCCCACTCCTCCAGTCCGACGCTGGCCTAACCTCCCTTCATTCTCCTCCTCGCGCTGCCCCCCCCCCTAACCCATGTAGGGCATTGCCCGCGGGGGAGGGGGGTGCTCAAGGCTCAACTAGACGATGGCTCGGTCGCAACTGGTACGGTTTTAACATCAAATGCACTCCCCCCCCAAAGCCAGCAAACCCTCACGCGCGACCACTTGAGGAAGACGCGGGTCAGCAAGCCGTGGCACGACTCCAAGACGCCCATCCAATCGACGCTGTGGTCGAAGCCCGTCCACCTCGAACTCGGCCAAACCCCGTCTGTTGCCACGAAGAGCGTCGTGAACTTCGACGCGCAATCGGCACGGGACAGGCGGCAGCCGTCGCAAAAGTGCTCCGCACAGCCCCTGGGGTACAACTCATGGCGCACCCACCCTCTACCCCCCTCGCTACCGCGACCCAGGTGCCAAAACCCCTCGCCCGAACACCCGAGGGCACGGTCGAGCCTGGAAGCCGTCCAAAACTACAAATGGAACCCCCGACATCCAGAATGGTGACTGCATGCTATGAGCAGGCCGCACGTTTTACACATCAGAGGTTGAGGGGTGCTATGGGGGTGGGGGCGCCACGAGCTTGTGAACCCAAGGCCTCTCGGTCCAGTCCCGGGTCGCCAGCGAGAGGATGACGACGCGACGAAGTCGCCGATGGGCCGACGTCTCCGACAAGAAGAGGTCCAAGCACTTGGTGTTGCGGGCGACGTCCGCAGGCGAAGGCCACATGTCGCAGCGGTACTGAAGCGTGTCCTGCAGCTCCTGTCGGAGCGCGGCCCTGAACGAGCGCATGCCGTCCTGCCAGCGCAGCGCCTTCGCCGCGTGCACCATGCAGCTGGTGTCGGCCTTCACGTGGTGGAACGCGCACGTGTGCCACTTGAAGACCACGTGCACCTCGCACTTTGACCTTCAAGGTGCTGCTCCGATCCGCCTCCTCACGGGCGAAGTTGCGCTCCATCTTGGTGATCCCGCTCGCGCCGTCCGTGCAAACCAGCCGCTGTCGTCGGCCGGACTGCTGCAGCACGTCGTCCTCTATCGGCGGACGGCTGGCCTTGAGCGCGTCGTAGAGCACCTCGCCTGTGGTCCTGCTCAAGGACTGGATGGGCGTCTCCAGCGGCACGCGCACGCCGACGTACCCGACGTCGGGGATGTGGTACAGCATCGAGAAGACCCGCTCAGTGTTCGAGATCTTGGCGACGTGCGAGCTCGAGCAGCTGGCGCTGATCGGCGCCAGCCTCAGCGGCCCGTCGGCGGGCACGATGGCCGCTGGCATGGCTGAGTCCACTGCTGCTGGCGCCGCCTTCTCGGTGTCCGTGAGCCGCATGTGCATCGGCGTCTCGTCATACCTGACGCTTTCTGACCACGTCAGTGCTCGGCCACCTCGCTCCAAGATGGATCGCGTCAACTGGCGAATCATCTTGCACACGTCCCGATTCTGCACCGACACGCACGCGGCGGCAACAGCGCGCAGGATGCCATCAGCGCGGCGGTGGCCAACGCCGAGGTTGCTGCACTCCTGGTGGAATGGCAGCGTCATGCGCTTCTCATCCAGGAAGTACTACACCACACCACGCTGCGCCGCTGCGACGAAGTCCCGCTCCGCGCGCGAATTCGCCTCCGCGATCGCGCACGTCTGCTCCACGAGCTGCGCAAGCTCCACTCGAGCCTCGGCCCGCGTGGGCGCCCGCACTGGCGCGCCGGCCACAGCTGCCAAGGCCACGTCCGCGTCGGCATGCGCGACTGGGCCTGCGATGGCATCGGCCTCCGCGTCGAGCTGCTCCTCCTCGTCGCTGGGCCCGAAGAGCGCCCAGTCGTCCTCGTCGACGACCGCGTCGTGGGCGGCAGCCAGCGCCGCCTCCACGGCTGGCAGCGGCTGCTCACGCCCACCAGCAGCGACGTCGGTGACCCACGCATCTCGGAGCCGCCTTCCGAAGATGCTCGAAGCGGCGCCCACGCCGCCGCGGGACAGCCGCAAAACCCCGCACACCCCTCCACTCCTCCCCCTTCCCTCAACCCCCTCTCCCCCCCTTCACCTTATCCTCCCCTAGCTCCTCCTCCCCTCCTAATCCCTACCTCGCCTCATCCTACCTTGCATCCCATCCTCCACCTCAGCCTACCGTGTAGGCGCATCCCCTTCTCCTCCCCCCAATCCCCTCAATCCATCCTCTCATTCATCGCCAGGGGCCTTGCGCCGCGCAGCCGCGCTGCCAGCAGGCGCAAGGTCCGCGGCGGCGAGCGCGCGGCCGCGCGCGCCCCCGCCGCGGACGCACGCCTCGGCGGGGCCAGCGGCAACCTCTGCCTGGAGGAGTAGGATGAGGGGATGGTGGGAAGTGGAGGGGGGGAGGTGGTGGGAGAACGCCCCGGCGCCCTCCGTGGCGCTCTCCGCCGACGCCGCGGCGCTGGCCGCCAGCGCGCCCCAGCCGTCGGGCGGGCAAGCGGCGGCCGCCACGGCGGCAGCCCAGCCCGAGGCGCCGCCGTCGGCGGCCCCGGCCGCGGCCTCCGCCACGGAGGCCCACCCTACCCCACCCCCGCTCATGGCGAAGGGGTGGGGCTGGAAGCCAAAATGGCTGGAGAGCACGGGCGGGGGAGGGGGGTGCAAGCTATGTGGTGCAAGCTATGTGGTGCAAGCTATGTGGTGGAGCAAGCGGGGCCATCTACGTGGCGGTAGCTCTGAGGCGCAACCATAGCGCATCGCACGATGAGAACATCATCCAAAAGGCAACTATGTGGTGCAACCGACGGTGCCCAAGCTAAGTGGGGTAAACTACGTGGCCAACACGCGGGGCATGAACTACGAACTGCAATATACATCGTGACACATATGCGGTGCGATCCGCCGCCCCAGCGGGGCCTGTCAGGCTTGAGAACTAAATTCGGTTCCCAATATTCTCTGGCGCCCTAGGAACCTGGAGGGGGAAGTACGCAACCTCAAGGGTCGCTGGAAACATGAAATAAGTAAAGACATGTGTAACGAACAATAAGAAATGATGTGCGAACAATATGAAGACCGATGCACGAACGACCGAAAAATCATTCGACTACTTGTAGCATGCCAACAACCTGTCGGGAGCTACTTTTTGTTTTTTTGAAGGTACTTTGGGGGCTTCTTTGGGAGGTACTTGTTGGGCTCGGTGGGTACTTCTATTCCTATTCCGAAACCTACTTTGGGAGGTACTTTGGCCTTTCTGGGGGACCTGTGGCTGTAGCAGGCATTGCCTTTCATAACTTAGGACGGATCTGCGCAATTTTTGTTGCGTTGTCACAAAATGTTTCTTGCCCCCCGAAGAGCTGGTCAATTTCTGGACGGACCGTTGTGTGTGTGTGTGTGTGTGTGTGTGTGTGTGTGTGTGTGTTTTCGCAGAGAATCTAGGGTCTGCGCATTTCTGTGTGTGTTTTCACAATGGATCGCGATCTGGACAGGATCTGGGCATTTTCTGGATGGACCGTTATATGTGTGTTTCGCCGGTTTTCCAGCATCTGCGCATATTTGTTGCCATCTTAGGACGGATCTGCGCATTTTTTGTTATGTTTTCACAGTGTTTCTTGTCCCCCGAAGATCTGGGCAATTTCTGGACGGACCGTTATGTGTTTTTTTCGCAGAGAATCTAGGGTCTGCGCATTTCTGTGTGTGTGTGTTTTCACAATGGATCGTCACACCTGCGCATTTTCCATTGCGTTTTACAACGGATCCTTGTTCTCAAAAGTGAGTCTGAACAGGATCTGGACAGAACCTGGATGGAATATGGATGAAATCTGGATGCAATTGTGATGGGGTCTGGGTGATTCGGGCGTTCCCGTTCTCTCCGTTCCCCCGCGCACTCCCGACCTAACTGCGCGCGCCCCCCCCCCCCCTGCGCCTCGCCCGCCTGTCCCCCCCGATTATTGCTCAAGACCTCTCCTGGATCCCCTTCCAATCGTCCTCCCCTGCGCGGCCGCTCCTGCTCCACCGTAGTTGACGATAGGGGCTTGGGGGAATGAAGGGAGGGAACGACGTAGAGGAGGGAAGGGGGGAGGGGAAAGGGTAGACGAGGAGGAAGAGGCAGGCAGCGGGAGAGGGATGCGGTCAGAGGCAGGCAGATTCGGCGAGTCGGTAGACTCATTCATCCATTCCCACTGCGTCCTTCATATCTCGCCCCTCGAGCATGCAATGGGCGCACGCATGCATCCTAGTTAATGTAGCCCGTGGAGTTGCCTGGGTAGCGGGTGGTTCAAGCGTCGTCGAAATAGTTCTTCTTGCACTCGATCATGCGAACGAAACCGTCGCATTTCTTGTTGACCGTCTCGACGATCGCGCCCAGCAAGCCAGGGATGTCCGACACAGCCACGTCGAACTTGCCGTCGAACAGGGTCTGCAGGCGGGGGAGGCAGCGAGGACGGGGGTGGGGGCGAGACACCAAGCTCACGATCGATCCCAAAATTCTGCAATCTTCACAAGTCTGCGCATGTCTCAACTGGCACAGAGGTGGGAGGTAGCGAAGTGCGAGGAGAACGTGTGGGGGGGGGGGGGAGGAGAGATGGGGCAGGACAAGGACGTGTAGAGGGTCGAAAGGAAGAGGTGGAGCACGAGCATATCGCTCGCTGGATGGATGGTCGGGCTGAAAACTGCATCGATCCTTGGCGCTCTCCACGTCCATGGTAGTCATCAGCTCGGCCAAAGGGCCCTCGGCGCACTTCGAAAGCATCGACCTCAGGACCGTGCGCAGCTGCTTCTGCTCGGGCGTGCTGCGAAAACACGCCTGGGCTGGGGGCTAGCCGAAAGCAATGATTCAGCACGAGCATAACACCAACAAGCAGCCAGGACGCAATGGGTATGAGCTCAGGGGTGGCAGGAGGGTAAGCATGGCCACAGACAGAGAATGAAGAGAGCTGTAACCTCCCCGTAACTACCCCCTTCTCCTCCCTGTCCTTCATCACGCCTCCTCGCCTCCTCCCTGTCGATCGTTGCCAATGTTCCCGACCGGACCCCCCTTGTGCACGCCCCACTCGTTGTTTCTCCTGACCCTTGTTCGCACATCCCAGACCACCCAATGAGGCAGATCGGACTCGTCGATCTGCTTCAGGATGGAAGTGGCTTTCCCTTCTGCTACCTTATAGGCCTGCGTGACTGCCAGGGCTGTTTTGAGGACCTCCTTGGCCTCGGGCCCCTCAGTGGACTCGGCCTTGCCACCGCCCTTTTTCTTCTTATTTCCAGGCCCCCCCCCCAGTCGTGCCCTTCCTCTTTTTCTGCTTCGCCGCGGGCTCAGGCTCTCCAGGCTTCTCAGGCTCCACCTCCGCTGGCTTTCCTGCAGCCTCTGGCGTTCCTGCAGCCTCTGGCTTTCCTGAATCCTCTTGCGTTCCTGCAGCCTCTGGCGTTGCCTCGCCGCCCGAAGCAGCGCCCGCCCCCCCTGGTGCGCCGCCTGGCGCCTCGGCGCTCGCCGCCGTTTCCTCGCGCCTACATGCCCCAGCGCCAGCAGCCTCGCCCCCCCGCTCGCAGTCACCCCGCTGCCCAGTGGCCTGCTTCCCCTGGCCCTGCGCGCGCCCCGCCTCCTCCTGTCCCAGCGCAGCGCCACCTGAGCCTTTGCCGCCGCCCGTCTGGCTTGCAGCTCCGACGCCAGAGGAGCCACTGCCCATCTGCGCGCCCCCGCTCTGGCCGTTGCCCGTCTGCCCGCTCGGGCCGCTGATCGCTTGCTGCGCGCCAGCGGCCACCAGCAACTGGCCGTGGCCGCCAGAGCTGCTGCTCGCCCCGGCCTCGAGTGGGATCCCCGAGTGCGCGCGCGTGCTCACAACCTTGCTGTAGCCCTTCTCTGGGGTCTCCGCGACCTGGCCGACGATGGGCAGCGCCTCCGCCTGGGGGGGGACAAGCGGGAGCCAGGTGAGATATGTTCAAAGGATGCGTCTCACTCTTGCATTGGGGCCTAGGGGGAACAGGCCACGTGAAACCATGCTACAGCGACAGGGGGGGTGGGCCCGGGGGGGGGGGGGGGAGCGATTGTGAAGTTCCAGGCGTATGCTCTATAGAAGGGGTTGGGTCGAATATGTGGCACGACTCTCAGCCCCTCGTCCATCGAATCCTCCCTCTCATGTCTTCTCTTCTGCATCCTCTGACTCCCATCCCATCTCTATCTGCACAACCATATTTAACTGATGCCCAAACTACCCCACTTCCAAGCCGAAGAAGCCTTCATCATCCTCGGGGTCATGGCAGGGGCGCCCATCACCGCCTGCGTCTTATTCTTCGCCATCTGCACACACTGTAGCCGCGTTATGTTCGAGACGCGAGCGGCTTCCAATGCCCGCCATTACGCCAGCTGCTGATCCAACGCAAATCGGCGCCCCGCAAACTCACATGTGAACATCTGATTCACTCGCCTTGCTCCCCCCATCCCTCTTCCTCGCGATCCATCCCCTTTGCCTTCCTCTAACGCCCTCCTCCACCCTCCCTCCATCCACTCTCATCTCGTCGTCCCTCGCCTTCCACCCCGTCCAAAAAAAGCCGCCTCTTTCTCCTGAATGGCCCATTTCTCCTCGAACACCGTCTCCCATCCGACCTTCTTGTATACGAACTCCACCCTCTTGGTCCAGGCGTTGTACTTGTACCTGGCCACTTGGGGCAGGGGGGTGGGTGGTGGTGGTGGTGGTGGTGGTGGTGGTGGTGGTGGTGGTGGTGGTGGTGGTGGTGGTGGTGGTGGTGGGTGGTGGTGGTGGCGGGGTGGGTGGTGGGTGGTGGTGTGGGGAGGGGGGGGGGGGGGGGGGGGCTGATTGCAGGGCTGAGGTTAGTGGTAGGGATTGGAGGGTTGCCAGATGCGACGGGGAGGGCGGGGAAGGAGGGCGGGGGGGAGGGGGCGGTGTGGTGCGAGGAGGGTGCAGAGAAACGGGAAAGGAAGTAGCGTCCGCCACTGCTTCGCTTTCCACATGGGTGCCAGCCAATGCTCGCTGCCATCGCGCAGTAAGTGTAAGCTCCGATGATCGCGGCCTGCGAGTGGTGCCCCCCCTCCCGATCGACAACCACGTCGAAGTTGCACAACTCGGCCCACTCCTTCTTTTTCTGCGCCAGGCTCGCGCAATGCTCCTTCTGCTTCTGGTGCCGATCGAACTGCTCGATGGCCCGATCTCGCTTGAAGTCCTTCTTCGCCTTGGCTGACTTCTTGTCGTGCTCCATCCGTTTCTTGGACGGCAGAGATTCCACAAACCTTGCTCTGCGGATGCTCGGTATAGACATCTCGCGCCGAGTAGCTAGTTGGCTACTAAGTGCGAGATGGCTGGGGGCCCACCTCAACTGCTTTCCTCACCCCTCCCCATCCTCACCCTCAGGGGGAGGAGTGGAGGACGGAGGGGGAGCAGGAATCATGTTCATCACTCCCCCCCCCCCCCCCCTTCCCCCATCCCCTGCTGCATGAGGGGCGCAGGCAGGGAGTGGTGGGGGGAGGAGTGAGAGGGAGGAGTGGCGAGACACCATTCCCCCCCGGGTGTTGCTAGAACTGCCACTGGCCAAAGGTGCCCCCAGCTTTTCATTGAATGTTGGAGCGCCTGGGGCGCCCTGGACCTCGTCAGGGGTGC